GGGAGGAAGTGCAGGAGGGTGGAAGGAAGGGAGGGAGGGAGGGGAGAGAGAAAGGAAAGAGAGGAAGGAAGGAAGGAAGGAAAGAAGGGAGGGAGGGAGGGAGGAAGGAAGGATGGATGGATGGACGAAAGCTGATCACCATTGGAATTATGGGAAAACAGAAACAGGCATTTCAAGACAAAACGGGAAAACTTCAGGTTCCTTGGTCTAGAGGTTTCCAATTTTGACTATGGGAAGATATTACTAAAGAATTATATTTCAGTTCAATGTTTTTAAAAAAAAAAATTATAATTTAACTCTCCAACAACTGAATGATGCTAGAGCAGGGGCCAAACAGTTTCTTTTCAGGAGATGGAGGAAATGCAGAAGGAGTTTCTGTTTGTAGGACAGCAAGACAAGCGTGAAGATAACCAACAACCAGGTGACATTCAGGCCACCAAGTCGAATCAGGTCTGGCTGGGTATGGGGCTGAGAGAGGAACCCACAAACTAAGACTGTGTCCCAGAACCTGGAACCAGCCACAGTCTGTGTAAAATCAAATACACGGCATTTATACCACTTAAGGTAGAGAAGTTGCTTCTTTGAACTTAAAATATTTAATAAAACTTTTGAGCTCTGCTGGAGGGTTTTTCTTTTTTTCTTTTTCGACTCTGAAAATCAAGTGTTTATATTCACTAAGCACATAATTCTTCATAGCAACCATTTATAATACAGCTGATGAAAAATGACCTATTTAAGGATAATACAACTATTATACAGGGAAAGTGGATAGTCCAGATAAGTGTAATGAAGAAAGAATAAAAAGCAGATGATGTGTCTACGCTGATTTAAAGCCTTTAGAGAATTATTCTGCCTCCCCCCAGCTCTCCCCCAATTCTGCTTTGCCTACTAAGACGTGGTTTATGAGTCATCCTTGCAGAGAACTAAAATATAGTGCTCCTGACTAAAAATAGGCAGGAACATTCGATAATAAATCTAGTTTCCTGATATCCTCTTGTCATCATTAAAGAATGATCACTTGGAGAAGTGTCATACTGTGCAATTCTTCCCTTCCCTCACAGGAAGGCTGAAAGAAAATTAGCCATGGGTCCTGCCAGAAGGAAATAAAGTCTATGACATGACAGGCCACACACGGAAAAAAAATGCTGATGTTCAATGCCAGGGACGTGGAGTTCACCTGCGGGAGGAACGGTAAACTTGCTGGTTCATAGGAAAACTATGAAATTTCTTCCTTGCCCTTAAACTAAGAAATGCTACACAGCATCAATGTTTCACTTATGACAGAAATTTAAAAATAGCAATTTGATTAAAGGATCAGAAAAGAAGAGTCTTTCATATTCACTATGATTTCTGCCTCTATAATAAACCATTGGCAAGTTACAGTGTATAAATAAAATGAAATCAGCCATAGAAAGATATCCCCGGTTCCCATTTTAGCATTTCTTTAAAAGTTTATAAAATGAAACATTAGGGGAGCAGTGGAAGAATTTATTCACACCATCTTCACAAAGTAGTTCCCTAAAATGGAGGATTCTAGCTGACAAGGAGACCTGTTGTGATTTTTTCACATCAGTGGAAAACTCCTTCAGGAAAATCTGCATAGGACTGAAAAGTCACATGTTTCTCCTCCAAGAAAAAGCTGTAGATGACAATAACTTCAGGCCTTATTATCACAGACAGCAAGCAGGAAACAGAAGGGAAAATGAAGTGTCCAAGGTTAGTAGTAGAATTAATGAACTTGAACTTAGAAAATGCAGGGAGATTGGGCTTCATGCTCCACTGCTTCCAAAAAATGTCTGTGAGGCACGTCAGATGGGGCATGGGCAGGAATGAAGGGATTCATTTTACAGACCGAAAGCTCTAGAACCCCACGGCTGGCAACTGCTCACCATAGGCAGCAGAATACTCACCAGGCGGCCCTGGATCCACTGCCGGTGATGGCCTCTTCCTCAAACTCACAGCACCGTCCTCTGTAAAGCAAACACACACAGACAAGAGTTTTAGAATTCTCATGGAGAGAGACAGCTCTTCGTATGTCAAAATCAGAATCTATAATGTTTTTTAAAAACACATCAGAAAGACAATAAATTACTGACATTAGGCCAGGCACAGTAGCTCACGCCTATAATCCTATATAGCACTCTGGGAGAGTGAGACAGGTGAAATGCTTGACCTCAGGAGTTCAAGACCTGCCTGACCCAGAGGGAGACCCCATCTCTAAAAATAGGCAGGTGTTGTGGTGGGTGCCTGTAATTGCAGCTACTTGGGAGGCTGAGGCAAGAGGATCACTTGAGCCCAGGAGTTTAAGGTTGCTATGAGCTGTGATGCCACAGCACTCTACTGAGGGCAATAAAGTGAGAGTCTGTCTCAAAAAAAAAAAAATTACTGATATTACTTACAAATAGATGACAAAGACACACAGTCATCAAATCTGAAATATTACTAATATACTCATTGCATAGGGTTTATAGACCCTCTCTACCACGCTGCTAATCCACCACTCAATGTCTTAATCTACTAAAATAATTAAGCAGCAGATGAGCCAAAAAGCTACCTAAAATCTTCTTGAAGCAAATATCATTATCTTTTCTTGATTAGCTGTGAAATGTCCTTAGATGAACTATAATAGTAGCAATCCATTTTATAACAGAATTGCATAAATTTGAAAAAGAGTCATTATCTTATATGTGTGTTTCTGTATTGTCTTTGTTAATAAGTTGCTTGCATCAATTCTGGATTTGACATTAGATTTCTCATTTGAGTGAAATTTAGATTTCAAGATGGGGTAGGAAGAAAAGTTCCTATAAGAACATAGAAGTGGCCTGGTAAGGTGGCTCACGCCTATAATCCTCATACTCTGGGAAGCCAAGGCAAGTGGGTTGCTTTATCTCAGGACTTTGAGACCAACCTCAGCAAAGGCAAGACCCCGTCTCTAAAAATACCCAGGCATCGTGGCGGGCACCTGTATTTGCAGCTACTGTGGAGACTGAAGCAAGAGGATCACTTGAGCCCACAAGAGTTTGAGGTTGCTATAAGCTATGATGATGCCATGGCACTCCACCCAGGGCAAAAAAAAAAAAAAAATGTAAAAGAAGTACATAGAAACAAGAAAAAAGCCCATTTGCATACAGAAAGAGAAGCAATCAATACCCAGGAAAATGATATCTGTAAAGACCAAATTAGAACTTATGAAGGTCACAATCTACAGATGGACAGCACAGTCCTTTAATATAAAGGTTTCAGCTAGACTGTTACCTCCAAGTAACACAAGATTACACTATGAAAAAGAAAGGATCGAATCTGTACCTAAATGGAAAAATACGAAAACAAATTCGCAGGTCATAGTATTAAATTTAAAAATCTAAAGTAGTATAGTATTATGAGTACTATGACCTCATTGTGTTAAAACAAACTTCACTAATCTATATGTAAATAACAGAAATAGCCTTGTTAAAGGCAAACAGCACACCTGGAGGGGTGACAAAAATGCTGAGTGTACCTGCCTCCGGGAAGTGGTACGTGTATTGAAGGGTGTGGGTTTTGATTTTAATTTAGTGCACAAGTGTTATGTAACATTTTAGCATAAAACATACTGCTTTCATAATTGAAACTGGAAAAAAAATCTAATTCACCCAAAACTCTTTCTAGAGAAAAAAAAATACCATTTTGAATACACAGAATTTGAAAATATACAGAACCAAGTACACTGACTTTACTGATTTAGTGAATCCTTTCTAATACCCAAACTCTAAGCGTGGATTGCATCTTCATATATGATCCACCCCAAAACTCTAAAATGTATGTACTGTGATCACTCTCATTTCATAGAAGGGGAAACTGAGAAGCTGAGTGAACATCTGACAATCTCATGTGGTTGGCATTTAAATCCAGGCACCCTGGCCCATGTTTCCCCCCTCACTTCACCTCATTTTCAATATTACATTTCTATTTTTAATTATATTTATTAATATGAGAACTTAAATTCCATGAAGACAGAGATTATGTGTGTATTGAAAACCACTAAGTATCTCCTTAGCACCTACCATGATATCTGGCACATAACAGATGCTCAATAAATCTTTGTTGAACAAATGAATAATTAAGCGGTCCACCAAGAGCTATGTAACTCTTTTATGTCTCTTGGGACTATGAAACAGGCTGAGTTCCAAAAAGGCTCATCAATTAATGATCCTACCGTACCATGCTCCTCATTTTAAGAAACCACTTGGTGTACAAGTCTTTTCTTACTCAAAGACTTTAAAGTCTGGACACGCTTTCCCTTCCCTTCTCTAATTCCCTAGTGACTATCCAGCATAAAGCTGCTGGATTGTTCCAGAAACCTCTCTAATTCTGTGCATAGCTAGGATATTGCAATATTTGCGAAAGCTGATGTTGAAATACTGAACTACAAAGGCGAGCTGCATAAGTAGTTTGTCATGAACTATTAACCTACCAGCATAACACAGGCAAACTACTGTAACAGACTTGGGAAGATGGAACACTACCATATTCACATAGTAACAGGTGAACAAATGCTTCTCCACTTATCAACTTTCTCTTTCAAATATTATTATTCTGGGTGTTGAAGGGCTTGAAGGGACCTTGGTAACAGAGAAACTGCGTGTAAAAGAGAGAGTGCGTCTGCAGTGTTTATGTGTGTCCCTCTGTATATTCTGGTCTTTCAAAAGAAGAACAATATGTACCCATAAGATAGAAGGAAACCTAACAGTTAAATAAAATCCCCAAGTCTAAATATTGCAAGGATGCTCATGTGAACAAAAGCTTTTCATTCGACAAGTATACCTTGACTGTTCAATGGGGGAAAATCGTCTATTCAACACATGACGTGGGGACAACTGGATATTCACATGTGAAAGAATAAAGGTAGACTCCTAATTCACACTGTATGTAAAAATTAGCTCAAAGGGGATTGCGGATCTAAAACTATAAAATCCTTAAAAGAAAATATAACATAGGAGTAAATCTTTGTGACCCTGGGATAGACAATGGCTTTTTAAATAAGGTACCAAAAGTGCAAAGAAGAAAGGAAAAGCACAGATAAATTGGACCTTTTTAAAAACCTTTGTGTATCAAAGTCCAACATCAAAAAAGTGAAAAGATGATTCACAGAACAGGGAAGAATGTTTTGCAAATCCTTTTTCCCATAAGGTACTTTTATCTGGAATGTAAGCCCTCTTCCAACTCGGCAACACAAAGACAAATAACCCAAATTAAACACGGGCAAGTGGCCTGAATAGACATTTCTCCAAAAATATATACAAATACATAAAAAGATGCTCAAATATCAGGGAAATGCAAATCAAAACCACAATGAGATACTACTTCACAACCGCTAGGAAAGCTATAATCAGAAGACAGATGATAACAAGTGTTGATGAGAATCTGGAGAGATTGGAACCTTCCTACACCGCTGATGGGAATATAAAATGATGCAGTCACTTTGGTAAATAGGCTGGAAACTGCTCAAACAGTTCAACATAAACTTTGCATATGACCCTGTAATTCTACTCCCAGGTATGTACCCAAGAGAAATAAAAGCAGATGTCCCTACAAGAAACTGTGTATACGTTTTCGTGCCAGCATTATTTGTAATAACCAAGTGGAAATAGTCCCAATGCCCGTAAACTGATGAACTGATTGACAAAATGCGGTAGCATATCCGTGTAATGGAATATTAGTCAGTAATTAAAAATTGCAACACAGATACCTATGACAATGTGGATGAACTTAAGAAAACGCTTACACGAAGTGAAAGAAGGCAGGCACAAGACCACGTGTTGTATGATCCCATTGATATGAAAAGCTCAGAACAGACAAACCCGCAGAGATGGAAAGCAGACTGGGGGCCCGTAGGATGGAGCATCAGGGAAGGCAGAGACTGCCAGCGGGCCTAGGATCAGACTTGGTGTTGGCTACACAGGCTGCGAATACCGTACTCAGCATCATAGCCTCGTACAGTTTAAGTGAGTGCATTTTATGCTACGTAAATTATATTTTATTAAAGCTAAAGTTTTTAGAAAGGCTTGCATTTCAGTCAGGTTGCCAGAAAATATTAGTCAGCATTTTTCAAAAACAACAAACCACTTAGTCACGTCCTTCAAGAAAACCACAGTAAATGGTAAATACTTCCATTTCTTAAAAATTTGTTATTGTGACTCGCCATGGGATTGCTTGGGATGGAAAACACACCCCACCCATCATTTTTATTACACCCTTACCAAAGAAGAACGTGTGTATGGAACAGCCCTGAAACCACAAGAAAACACGAGTTACATACTGCAAACCATCACTAATGATGCCACGGTGTTTGAGGCAGCCTTATTTCAAAGCAACGGGGAACATTAGCCAAGGTGAACTTTTCCTCATTGGGGGAAAAAAATCTCCAAATATTTGAGGGTGACATTGCCAGGCCTGTTTTAGTGAATCTATATCTGTACTCAGCACAAAAAGAGTAGCATGAAATCCCTCCTCTAGATAATTCAATATTTAGATTCTGTTTTCCAGTGGAGAATAAATGGTCGAGATTGAACCAAAACAGATCATTTTACTCTGATCTACTACTGAACATGGAAATTATTGTTTTGCAAGCAAAGAGAATGTTAGAAAACAGCTGCGTCTGTGGGTTTGTGCAGTGTAACAAGCCACCTCCAACCTGTGGCTTAAATCAATAACCTTCTACCTTCTATTTGGGTCACGCAGTGGTCTCAAGTTCACGAGCGCAGCAAGAGGACAAGTCCGGATGTACGAGAACATCCCAAGCCTCGCTGTGTTGCATTTGCTAATAATACTCATTGGCCAAAGCAAGTCAGTTGAGACCACATTCCAAAGAGGGGTATTGCAGGATGGTACGTGGGAAGTAACATGTATATACAGTGCAAGCGCATTAGCACTAAACCTTCAATTTACAGAAAATCTAGTAATATTATCCCATTACCATAGTTACATGCCA